ATTCAATTCAATCTCACTTTGCCAATGCGAATCGATTCAATCGTCTGGCTAAACGCCACTTCGATTACCTCCAATCAATGCGCCGTGATGTCCCTCATCCACGGTTTATATGTAACGAACAATTACGGAAACACATGTGTACAAATTCCATACCGACAAATTATTCGTACATGAATGGCTCTTCTTCGTCTGCACCTCCACCCACTGTGACAAAATTAATTAAAAACTTAACAATTAATCATTCACTCCATATTTTGATATTTCCGATATTATTTTTTGATTAATCGCACGGAAACAAATTGCAATTTTTCAATTATTCGAGTACATTGTAATGATATCGTAATTTTGTCACTGCATTTTCCATTTGTTTAAAAATTTATTGAGTCTGATATAAATTAATTTTCTATTGAGAGTGAAGATCATGAAGATCATCAATCAGGAAAATTTGATCTATCGAATTTGTAAGGTGAATCCGAAATTCCCTGAGCAATTTAGTCTGAATTCAATTTAAATTTTGAATATTAAAAATCTAAAAGCATATGTTACTGGATTTTTACAAAAAATTGAACAGTCCATTTTAAATTTATCGATTTTGGGTGACGCCATGCGGACCGTCGAGGTTGAACAAGTTGCTGATAACCATGTGGCAATGTAAACGCCAGTCTCTTTATTCCCTGTTTTGCATTCTTTATCATTTTTATATTCCCATCGAGTAATTCACTGGTCCGAGCCACACCGAACGCGTATTCATGGACCGACGGCTTTTTCCAACTCTCACAACCTCATAAAAAACGTATTTGTCGTGATCGTTCAACCGAACCCACATGGAATATCAAACCAGTGACGGAGGGCAAAATTTACAGAAAAAAGTACTAAACGTTACGGAAAATTTTTCAAATATTCAGCCATAAATTAACTTGATTGAAATTGAGATGGAATTCATTCTCAGCAATGTCTCCCTAATTTCCCACAGTGTTTAATAATCATAATGATCAACTTGCTCACAGAAAACTCTCCTGATGGTAGAGATAATAGAGTAATTTAATTATCTATGATTAAACCATTTAAAGGGAATTTGAGAAATCTACTCAATAATAAAAATTAATTATGAAAGAGATGAAGAAAATGTACAATATTTCCTGGAAAAATTTAGAATATTTAATTACCAATTTTTACGTATAATTCAGATAAGATCGAATTTATTAAAGCTCCTGAGTTCCTCCACTTAAAATATGATAAGTAATTCTCTGACACTCATTTTTCATAGCAGGGAGGACTGTTTTATTGATTCAGCTGATTCAGCAAATATTCATTATTGTCTTCGATAGGCTGGGGTCAGAAACAGTGGAAAAATGACCTAGTCTGTGGCTTGACAAGTTGACGAGTCTAGGGTGAGTCGGCGGGAGGGTGAAAATCAGGGGAAGTTATCAGATAATACAGCGTGAACGTTTCCATGACTACCCGGAGGCATCCTCTCTGGTTTTCTTTTACAATCCCTATAGCAATAACATAACCAGAGTACCCCACCCACCACCCACTGAATTGTCTAGTTTCCCTTACTCGATTTACGTAATGCCCTACCCCTCGAGGTCCTCTACTTTTTTTTTTTCATTTTTCCCACAGGGGGATAACGCGGAAAACAACTCTTTCTGACGAATTTTGTACTTTTGTATTGGGGAGAAGGACTAGACCGCGAAACAAAAATATTTTTCTTTCGTGACTCAGAGTGACGCACCGAGAAAAGTTGATTACTGTGGAAAAATGGAGAAGCTCAATGAAACGGTCAAAGTCGGGTCTATCTGCGAGGGTTTTATCATCTTCTACCAGGCGAATATATCTGGAATCAATTGATTGATGAAAAGATTCGATATTGAAGGAATAAATAAATAATAAAATGCGTAGGCGCTCTCCTACGTCACTTCTATATATTTTCTCAATATAAATCGCGTCAATCTGAGATATCCCAATATATATGTTGCCAAATATATTTCTTGCTGCCTGGGTGTCTCACAGAAAGTAGATAAAAGCTTCTCTCATCACTTTTTCCCTGTGTCTCTCAGAAAAAAATTCGGAAATTGATGCTGGATGTTTTTCGCGCTATCATTTGTAAGCAATAGACACATTCACTGAATCAGATTACTTTTCTGGCACTCAGGAACATTCGAAATGAGGCGGAAGAGCTGATTCATACGATGGGTCCTCTCATTTTACTTTATGAACTGTGGGAGAACCAAGGGGAGGATTGATGGAGATAGCTGAATGAAAATTCGGTGGGGAACGAGTCAGAGGAATATTTATGGTTAAATTGTTTTCGGAATCAGATAATTATGATTTAGTTCTGGTACTGGGGAAACGGGTGAGGAAAGTTGTCTGAATTTTTGGAGCTGGGAAAATCGGAGGGGGAGGGGTCTTTCAAAATTGGTCATGAAGAGAATGGAGAATAAAAATAGTTGATTGAGTCGGGGAGGAACGGGTTTAAAATCAGAGGGGTTGTCTTTGTCGCCGGTTTTATAGTAATGGAAAAAAGGCAATCTCCTCGAAAAATCGACGTTTTGACAGTGACTTTAGGGGGTGGGAGTCGAATTAGGACGGGAGGGCTGAGAAAATACCTTGATTTTTTTTAATCCCCACCAATTTTTATGACCTCATTGAACTGAAATCGGGAGGTTCCACTGTTCTTTCATCCTTCCATCGTATTACATAAATTTAAAAACAGTAAAATTGAATAATGTTACTGTTAATTGAATAATTATTAATTTTTTCCATGAAAGGTGAGCCAAGTTGTAGGAATAAATAGTTGTTTCCAATTCAATAAAATTTTTTTGTATTTCAATGTCTTTTTTAAGGGTAAATACCAGAAACAATTTCTCCTCGAGTATTGGGTCATATTTTTCTCGACAGTGCGAGAAAATGATATTTTTCCCCACATGTTCACGAGTGTGATTCAGTATTTTTGGGGGAGAAATGAAAGTTATTGGGAAGTTCTATTTTTTCCGAGTGTGGAATTCCATATATCCCTAGGTGGCTGATGTCAGTTTCATTTGCCGACTATCAGTCAATCCCCGTCATGAAAATTTGCCGTATATCTCGAGTTACGTGTCACATCCCCTTGATGGAGAATCCGTGCGTGGATTTCCAAATAAAAATATAAATCCTCGAATTTTCAGTTATTCTCTGGCAACGAGATCCATATCTCAAGAACGGAATAAAATCGGCATAAATATGACCACCCTATTTCTGGAAATAGGAGGGGTAAGTCAAGGGCTGACTTAATCCCGCTTGGATCACGTAAACGAAATACCGTATCGATACACCATTCGACGATTGTCCCCGCTGGGAAAAAAAAATAACAGAAAATAACGGGCAGATTTTGCCATCGAGGTCCAGAGCAAGACCAATAAATTCACCCAATAATACACACTTCGCTGTGATGACGCTGTTATACTTCGAGCGATAAACCAGCAAGAGACCCCCGAGAATCAGTAGAATCAACGGAACTTTATCAAGCACGCGAAGGAAAAAAAAAATACTTACAATGTAAGAGTTTACGGCGCAATTCTGAATTTAATAACTCCACTGCACAACATTTCAGTGGAGACCACGAAGAAAAAAATAGGAGGAAAAAATAGAAAAAAAAAAGTCTATCGTCTTTCATGATTTTTTCATCTACCATTTCCACGCAATGAGAAAAATAATTATTTCCGCAACTGATTAATTTTATTGCGAATGAGAAAGTCATAAAGAAAATGTTATTATCCATAATTAGATTATGCATTGGTTATATTCAATCATTTTTCATTTGTAAATAAAATTTTTCAATTTTCAATTGTAATATGTCATCAGTGAATAACCGCTGGAGAACATTAAAGTAGTTAAATCCTTTTAATCCTTTTTATTGAATTCGAAATTATGATCGATTCCGTCAAATGATTTTGATTAATTCCCCGACGGGGCTGCGGATTGCTCCCGAACTATAATTTCTACACTAGAATTCTCGTAAACTCGCACATCATAACCCGAGGGAAATCGTGGGCCCCTATCATTGGTTCGGGATTGCAGGTGCCTAAAAATGAATGGGCCATGAACCGTGAGTTCGGAAGGATCGTAATCCAGAGTATGTGATGGTTGCATCATAAATTTATGCATCCTGTCTCGTTGCGTATGAATACGAATGACTTGAGAGCAAATGTACATCAGGGTGACATCCATATCATCCGATGTACACTCGATATCGCCCCCCGGTGAATCAATCACCGTGTCTTATGATCTATCGATAGGGAATTGATACCATTGCTCACTCGAGCGACATTGGTTAATTGCTGGGTATCAATCAACTTGTCCACCTGTCGTTCGTCTTCGTTATTCTTTCTCATTCGTTCTCATTCTCCAGGACGAATCTCACTGCGATTCTCTGAGAAAAAAAGACACCTCTGATCCAGAAAAACACACTCCTCTCGTTTTTTCTCAGAAGGGTATTATTAACTGTCTATTTACACAACCACGAAAAATTGTTATTTCACTGGAAAAATGTGAAAATCCAGGGCAGCATGAAAATAATTTATTGATTACTTGTTTCCAGTGAGTAAATAATCTACTGACGAATTTATATTTTCTTAAATGTTTCAAAATATCGACATACTCATTAGAACTTGATAATTATATCAGTGAATTGGGGACTTGAGTAAATTCTATCTGAACTTTTCCTGTAATAACTTCAATTTTTAATTGTTTCGCTTTTAATTTTTCTTTCAGATCTATTCTAGATTCACAAACGATTAGATCCAAACACACGCAATAGTTCCTGATCACGCAATAAATAAATTTCCGACAATTCACTATCAGCAATGCACTGTTAGAAATTTTCTGAGACTTAATAAAATATAGCAGCTGATAGTCGACATTAGCTAGTGATATAAGTCAATATTATGAGATATGATAAAATAGAGATGATAGAAATAATTGTTGATGTCGACTAACGCTAGGGACTTGACACATTTCAGCTGCGGAAGCCAGTGTCGACACTCTCGATCCCTGGGGCGATGAGAAGCAGCAGTGGAACTGGAGGTGGACAAGGTGGTGGTGGTGGAGGTTGTGCCAGTGGTGTTTTGGCCAGTGCTGGTGGTGATGATGCTGGAATTGCCCTCGTTGGTGTCCACTCGGAGTATCCACGGTACATGGATGAGCGTGGATTGGGTGGTGGACCCATGAAAATAGCACCATCTGGCAGCATTGGTCCTGGCTCAAAACACAAGCCCAACGTCGGCTACAGACTTGGCAGGCGAAAGGCATTATTTGAAAAACGCAAGCGCATTAGTGATTATGCACTAGTTATGGGAATGTTTGGCATAATCGTAATGGTGATTGAGAATGAGCTGTCAAGTGCTGGAGTTTATACCAAGGTAATTCACTTGTCAATTATCCCTTGGCATTATTAATTCGCATTTTTATGCATCCGATGGGGCATCTATGTGGTTGGTAGATCAGCTGTTGTTAGAGTTATCATTTATTAATCGGTGTTGAAATAACACGCATGGTCTCTGGTATACTGGTCTCCTGGAGAACGATCATTTTTATCATTATCAGGGGTATAGAAATATTTATAGAAAATTGGAAATGGAATAGCCCATCTGGTTGGCATTTGTACAGAATCGAAAAATAAAATCGAGTTGCCCGGGTAGAGAAAAATTGTAATCGGAATATTTTTTCCAAATTTACCAAAAAATTATCGAAAACTTTTCAGAATTTTTTTTTTATAATTTAGATGGCGTATTTTCTGAGAATATTGAAAAATGAAAAACGTAAGGAAACAACAGTATAATTTTCGAAAAATTGGAGTAATTGTGAATTTTTTCACTTTTTGAAAAATTGATATTTGATAAATTTTTTGAAAAATTCAGCAATTTCGTAATAATGGGAATTCCCAGAAAAAGTGAAGAGTTCTGAGTATCGGACCAGATCCTCAATGAAGGCAAATGAACCCTAATGAACCCGGGTAAAAAAAAATCCAATCGGAATATTTTTTTCAAATTTTCCAAAAATTTCCGGAAAACTTCAGAAAATTTTTATTATGAAACAAAAAAAAATCAGAAAGCAAAACAATTATATTTTTGGGAAAGGTTTTGAAAAATTTTGCAAAAATTTGAACAGGAAATTTTTTTTTATTTTTTCCAGAAATTTTTAAAAAATTTGAAAAAAAATATTTTGATTACAATTTTTTTTTACCCGGATTAGCTGTGTTATTTCAACCTGTCGCCATGATTTATCAAATTTTTTTTGTTAATTGCTATTACTTGAGGACGATTTTACACCACCAATGATTGAGGTAAATCACCTCAAAAGATTGAGAGTGCAATTGACTCGAGCCTGATTAGCTTGTGAGCACACAGCACTTGAGTGTATCCGACAGGCAATAGACCGCTTCTGTCTTCATGCGTGACTGGTTTAATGTTATTATGGGGTGAATGTAAATTTGGGCTTGCATTTACGCGCCATACACCCACGTTTGGGGGGGCTATCACCCCGACCGCTAATTGTTATCAGTTATCACTGAGGGATGCCTCGGTTTTGGAGTTCTGGCACACACTGCGATCCACTGGGCCAATTCTTCTTGCCAATTTTAGAGTGTGGATGAGAGTATATGGAATTGGGGAGTATAATTGGGTAATCAGTGATTGGAGTAATTCAAGGGAAACCCGATGGAGTGGATGGGGGGCAGGATGTGACAACGTGGATGAGTGCTAGAACACTTGTTTCCACGTTCAATGCACACTTTTGATAGAGTAGTGGGATCCCCTCGAGTAGATACTCTAGGTCTGACTGGTGTGCTCCAATGGTCCCCCTTTTCTCTTCATGAAAGACGGTCAAGGGTACTCATTCCTCCGGTAACTCAATGCTCGATGGTTGGATTATACCCACTGTGATTCGCTCGGAATAAGAGACAATTTTCGTTCTGTGTTTCTACAATCCAATTGGAAGAGCTCCATTCCCACTGGTAATTTTCTATTTTTTTGAATAAATCGGAATTCGTTTTATGCAATTTACTAGTCATTTTTCTTTATTATTTTAAGTTAAAAATCGAGATTTAAAAATTTTTTTTGTCAAATCAATTATTAAAAAAGGGAGGTACGTTCTCAAGAATGAAAAAAGCTCACCGTGTGCATCAGATCATTTGATAATAGTCATCCGCATTTATCTCAGAATAAAATCGACAAGATATAAATAGAAAATATTCTTTAGAACATCTGATAGTTCGATGGGGAGGGTAAAATGGGCTATGAAATTTTTTGAGGGGTGAAAACAGCGAGATATAGACGTTCAGCCGATTCAGCATCCCTGGGTCACCCTCAACATTTATCGGTGACTCCCAGCAATCCCTTTTGGTGCTAAATCAAGGGGATCGTCAAATGAGCCCTGAGGTATCGGCAACCTTGTCAATTTTTTTCTCCATTGCCCACCGCCATCCCTATTACAGGGATTCCCCTTTCTTGCTCATAAACCCACCTCTTCTGTTTACCTTTTTCCCTCCACGCAATATCCCCCCATTTTTCACAGATGTATCAGTCTCGAAAGCTGCACGAGGAATAAAAACCCTGAACAAGAAAGTCTCGTTTGAAGTATTAATCTCGACGAAAACTTCCGGGGATTTTCCTCCTTTATTTTCAATGCTTATAAAACCTTTAAAACCCCTTTTTACTCGCACACTAGTTGTTTGTCTTTCCTCCCCCACTCCCAAAAAAGACCAGTAGAAACACTGTATAACCATAAAACTTTTATCCCCCGCAGTTTGCGGTAAAAAGTGTCTCCATGAATTTCTGAATTTTTAATTATCACGACCAACGGAAATTTGAATCGCACTAAAGGAGAGTAAAAAACAGACTCTCAATTAGTTGACGAAAGTTTATCTGTTCCTTCAGCCCGTCATTATTCAGTATTCTAGCGAATTCTAATCTATTCAAATGTATTTTTTTTTATGAACTACATTTTTTTAATGAGTTTTTCTCAGTCTAAAATTACCCCTCAAAATATAAATTATTAGTTAGTCTACATAAGCCGTATTTTCTCCCCCTAACTTTACCCACACCCTTTCCAAGAATTTCCAAACTATTGAGGAAGTAAAGTACAGAGGGTTGAGAGGTGGGGGTAGTAGTGAATGAAGTAACAACTTGGAACTATCACGAATCAGTGGTACTAGAGTTTAGTTCACCCGAGTCGTCGACATATGCTTCCACAGGGGAGTGTACACTCCACTGCACTTTGACTATTAATTTCCCCCTCCCCCTCTACTCAATTCCCAGTCGTTGAGCAGTTGAAATATTCACGTTTTCGTCACTCGACTTTACAACATTCCACTTTTTTTGCTAGTGCCCACTAGACTCGAGTGTAACTTGATTAATCAATTTTTTTTTGCACACCGTTGGGCAGAGGCCGCTTGTTACCTCTTCAGCTTCTGTAATTGCAATTGTTCAAGTTGTCTCGCTTAATTAGGGATGTAATCGGAGTGTTAGATGCACGCTGAAGTGGTACTTCCAACTGCTCGAAGATATCTAAGTGCTCTTTACTATTTATCCTGTGGATTCTGATAATATTAATCGTCAGATTTGTCAATTGATTTTATTACAGCATAAATAATTTTTTTGCACCATTTCTATGCAATAAATTATTGAAATCGATTGAAGGATTCAAACGTTAATTGTCAACTGTGTAGACGTAATTAGACGTAATTAGACGTAATTAGACGTAATTAGACGTTTTTAATGCAAATAAAAATATCACAAGTAGGAAATCCTGAATTTGGTTTTTGTGTAAAGTGCAATGTCCTACATACTTCACTTGCTCCAATTACCCTTGTCACGGTTAGTCGAGCAGGCGCGTCCTAGTGCTCGATCAACATTGATGAATATCCTCCGGTACGAGCGGTGCACCTAGTCCTCGAGTGACAAAAAGATCGGAGAAAAATATTCAAGCTCGTCTGACCAATACCGCGATGATTCCCTTGACGTGAATGCCCCTTTCATTTCCTCCGGTATAAATTCGCAGGGAGATGCATCAATTACGCGTGACATAGCTGTTGAATCCTTATTATCAATTTCCAAAGGGCGTGACCAACGTTGCCTGGTCGAAGCCGACATGCGCACTCAACAGATTTCTCAGTCGTCGTGGCAACTCAGAATCTTGCGTACCCTCATATCTCAATACAAACTTACGTATCAGTAACTGATAACGTATCACGACTGAAAATATCACTCAGGTCACACTCCTAGAAAATTAATTTCATCGAGCATCAAGAATTTTCCACATCCTTTACCCTTGGAGATAAATTCCTTGGACATAAATTTCATGTTTTTTTTTACCTGAGATTACACGAGTAATTTTGTAACAATGTAGTTCAGACAAATTACCTCGACACCGTCGGTTTTACTGATCAGTCCTTTATTCCAGGCTGATTTGAATTTCCACTCGGGATAATCCCTCGATATTCAGGGGATGATTCGCAACTGCAGCCGAGATTCACTTATCATGTCAATTCTACACGACAATGTGTACAGACCCTTGGGAGCCTCCCGGGTAGATCCAATTGTCAACATATCCTTCCCCTCGAGGTCCTTCTTATTCCACCTCATTCCGGAATCCTCCTTACCCGAGGAAACAGATGCTGATTCATGTTCACCAATGTTAACTGTACCATGTCATTAATCATGTGGTGTACCACCATAGGCAAGTACTCATGATAACAATGTTTGTGTTGCAGGCCTCGTTCTACTCGACTGCACTGAAAACCCTGATATCTATGTCTACTGTGATACTGCTTGGCCTCATATTTGCTTACCATGCCTTAGAAGTACAGGTAAATACCAATACCTCACAAAATTTATTATTTTCAGGAACGAAAGCCATTATTACTACCCACATTTATTTTTAACTCCTCATTTCTCCATTTGTTCAGCTCGTAACCAACTGCTCTCATTTTTTTCAATTATCCATTACTCCCATAAGTATTGATTTGAGGTAAAAACGAGAAGAGCCTTTTTTGGAGCTCATGAAATTTCAAATAGAAAAGAGCTTTTCATAAATTCTCCTAAAATGAATATCTTTCAAATTAATCCATGGTTAATAAATGTCAAATTTCATTATCTCACTTCAGCAGTCGGCTATTATTTATTTATACATAAAAAATTTAACTGTTTACGGAGAATAGTTAGAAATATATCGAATATTTTGGGAGCTATGATTCAATATTATTGCGGCGATGAAATCAATATGATCGGAATAGCCGCATTAATTTCCTAAGCTCCTGACTCACATAAAAATGTAGGAAATTGGAGTCGAAGGGTGTTCTTCTCACCCCACAGTGGAATCGCCAGTATTATTCAACGTGAAATCAACGAGTGGTACTTTGCCTCAACAGACTTTAGCCCCTCCAACACGAAAGTATCGAGAAAAGTTGGAATATCGAGCATCCAATGAATCATTGAAAGCATCCACCCTGAGAACTCCACGTGCATCTCAATAGTCAACCCCTCGAGCCTCGCGTTAGGCTTTCGAGGTAGTTAAGTACAACGGAAAACGTCGACGAGAAAGGAGGGGGGAATTGATATTCTCAGTTGGCAATTTTATTTTTTTCCTTTTTACCTTTTTGCTTCCCCCGAACTTTGACTGTTACTCGGAGCATCGTGATTCCCTCGTGGGGGAAAAAAAGAGGCACCCCTCGGATACATTGGCTTTTTATCCGATTTTTTTTTGGAGCCACAGGCAAACACAGTATGTACCTTGCAACTTCCCCTGGGGCCCTCCCTCCTCTCATCAAATCCCTCATTGTCCAGTTGATTGTTTAATCTCAGCCTCCCAGTTCACTATCAAATCTCTCCTGTCTGTTCACACTGGGTACTAATCCCCTTGATACATATCCAATAATCACCAAACAGCCCCAGCCCCTCCGCATATCGCGCAACGATCCAGTAATTCACCATTTCTTATTCCTCAGAGAAGGCTCATTACAGATGGATAAAAATCCCTAATAAAAATAATCTAGAAATGTGCACATTACTTCACTCAGTTATAACCAAGAATTTATAGTCCACACCGGAAATTTTATTGGAATCCAAATATTAATTTTGAGGATCACTTTCGCAGTTCGGTATGAGTAATAATTTCTTAATTCAATTGCATCGAAAAAATTCATGAAGGTTATAAATAAATAAAAATTGCCAGCCATTGCGATCAAATCCCTTTGCTCCATATTAATATTTGGGATTTGATCGCAATGGCTGGTGATTTTTATTTATTTATAACCTTCATGAATTTTTTCGATGCAATTGAATTAAGAAATTATTACTCATACCGAACTGCGAAAGTGATCCTTAAAATTGCCGGAGTTTGTTAGGACATAAACCCGTCATCGGGATTCTCTCTGTCTCGGAAAGTTCAACTTTAACAGTTAAATTGGCATAACGATGTCTGGTATTGATCCAGAAAGAAAGTACAACGTGGTTTATGAGCAGTACTGACTCCATTACAGCGGCGAGATTTCTCTTGGCTGCCAGGGTAAAAATGACGGTTCGGGGGTTCATAAATCGAGATAAATCGGATGGGGTCAGTACCGAGAGGATCGAAAGATGTAGTTGCCGGTTTTGTTAACAACTCGATGAAAATGCGAATCTCATATTTTCTTTTTTACTCCACATGAAAATATACGCACTCTTTCGGAGAGAAAATATTACATGCGATATTCAGAGGTCTTTGCTTGCTCCTCCCAATCCTCACCCCCTTATATATTCCGTGCTCTATACCTTCCGTTAGTAAATAAAGAGTTTCTTTATTCACACGGAAGAATTATTACTCCCTTTTTTTGGGGTTCTGTACGAGTCCGAATTTTATTTCGAGGATACGAAAATAAAATAAATTCTCAGCGAGATTTCCAACATTCGAGATCACGCGTTATTTTATCGAATTTATTAATTAAGCGTCAGAATCAATAATTATTCTGAGAAATTTTTAATTATTCAATCAGATACCAATCAGCAGGTTGACACCACTAATTATCTTGTTGAGCACACCATGGGGATTAATGGAGATTCATGACGCGGATTATTCGATGGAAAAATTACTTTTCCGGGATGATCAACGCTGATTCCAGCGCTTTAGAGATTTTCAACGGATTATTATGAATTATTATATATATTGAAACTTTTTAAACTCTCCGCGTCGAATTAATTTGAATTTAATGCCAGGAATTTTATTTCCCTGAAATTTTGATTTTAAAATGTCCATAGCATTTTTACCAGTGGAATTAAAACTCTCGGAAAAATTTTTCTTCCAGTTGAATTGAATAATCGCATTGGAAATGTTTGATTAGAAAATCAGAACAAACAGCAATCTGTAACTGCGTCTCCTCTTTCACAATAGTGAATTGAATTATTGATGCCACTACCTAAATCCCTTACCCGTCGCCAATTAAAGAGCCCTGCATTCGATTAATACGGCTAATTCTGTTTTCGCAGCAACCAGAAGTTGCAACCCATGAAAATGATAATCCTATTTAATTAGCCTACGTGATTAATACCAAACCGTGAGACCGTGTGGATATTCGAAAATTCAATTTACGAAGGATGAAAATGAGGAATAGAAAAGGTTATGTGGACGTTACTTGTCCCACCCCTTTTTCCCCCGAGTGATTTTTTCGAGTGATAGTGAAAGCCACAGAATCCCCTAGGACCTCATTTCACTGAACTTGTCCTGGGGAAAGCCTGTCATTGGGAAACAAAGTTTTATGGTTTGCCCTGCCGTCAGTTTGCGAGTGAGTTAAGAAATGGGATACATCACATCCCAAACTCTCCATACAGGTCACACTGATCCATCTTTTTTTTTGAGAACCTGACATGGAAAGATACCCCCATAATAAATAATGTCACTCACTATCGAAGAAAAATTAATTTCATGCGAAATATTAAATGACAAGAAAAAACGCTGGGAAATGTTTCACGTCCGTTCGACGGCAAGACGGCGCAACATCTGCAGCTGACACAATTTGGCAGTGAGTTCCTGAAGAAATCAATGGGCCATTCATCATGAATTAATTTTTCATTCTCCCCTATCTTGAGCCTCGGTGAATGAATTGATCCGCCGATATAAAGGATAATTCGCAGAGTAGCCGTATTTCATTCCTTCGCACCCGTCGACAGTTTTACAACGTACCGCTGGTGGTTGTCTTCAGCGATAAACCGGAAACCCCATCGACTTTACAACCGGTTGGATAATCGGACACTATCACAAACGGTACATACACTATCACAAGTGGCATATGCAGGTCGGTAGTCGATCGTAAAATGGTTCAAGCTGGGGGGATGAATCGGGGATAGTTTACGAGGTCAGCTGTTTCTCGTCCACCAGCGCAAGTATCCGTCATTATACCACTTCTTTCGTCATTCCTTTCTGCCCTTTCTTCTCCAGCTCGTATATCAGGGCTGTATCACTGGAGGAGCATTGTGTATTATCTGAAAAAGCTGACGCACAGCAGATCTGAAAGATCTCCTAAAAACCCACCCGCCTCTGGTCAAAAAACATGGAGCCAAAATTTTCCAGCTTTTACTGATCTGTAAGTCCACAAAAGAGAAGACAATCAATTTAATTCCGTGAAATATCAATTTCAATTCAATTAATTATAATATTAATCATTTTATTCTTTTCATTTTTATTTTAACGGGAGATTTACAAAAGTCCAATCTCTGCAAGTAAAATTTAATTATTTTTTTTTCACGTGTAAATTATATCGTCGGTCGCAGCGTAATGAAAAAATTATTCAAGCACTTCTTCAAGAGTCTCCCGGAATTTGTTCGCATTCTCCTGGAGGAATGAAAATTCAGAGGATTCGAGGACTCAGCAAAGAGCTCCGACGTTTGCAGTGTTGCCAAGAAATGTATTATCCGAAGTGCGTTGTGAATAAATATAGAAATTCCCGAGATAAAGAAAACGGGGAAATGCACGGAGTTGAGCAATTTTCGTCGGTGGCTCTTTCATTTTTCGTCTGGGTCAGCTTTTATTTATCTTAGACATGCTCGAAAGAATTCACCGCCGAAAGAGCATCGGGTTGGCAGCATTACAGGCCAGAGAGACGAGGCGAGAAAAAGCAACTGCCTTTTGTGAATTACCCGTTCTCTCCGTCTTTCTACATCGGTTTTGTGCATCTCCTGACAATTGTAACTCCCGGGTAAATGTACACACCCAGGGCAAGTGTTCCAGCCTCTTGTCACCGTCACCCATTTAATCATCACCTCATTTTCTCTGAATGGAGAAATTCACACCCGGCAAATTCATTTCCAACGAGAGTCAGCAGTCAAGGGGTTTAAATTTAATTCGATGCGACAGGAAATATTTCGGTTGATCAGTTCACTTCGTCGTTATCGGATCGAGTGGAATTCAATGCACCACGGAATTTTCAGGGAAATTACTGAATTTTCCGGATTACCAGCTTTTATGGTCGAAAATATTATAAATATATACCATTAGGCAGCGAAACAATACAAAAAAAAATTTCACTTCAAAGTATCACCACCAAATGAAAAAAAGTTCTTGTGTACTTACATTTCATTCTAGCTTTCGGTTTATTTATATTTTAAAACACTAACAAAAAACTCTCGAATTTCGTAATAACGGGGATGCAATTCCTCCATACTTCAGTAATGATTTTATATCGAGTATAATATATTAATATATAATTATTTATAATTAATATATTGATTGTTCTGAATTGTAATACATCGATGTGTCATTTTTCCCGGAAAATATCAATAAAATTACTGACATTGTACTAAAATTTTGTCGTATGATATTTTGTATCACCTCACGAAC